GAGGATCCTTGCTCATTATTTAAACGGAATGAAGACATTAAACTCATGCACTATCTCTTTTTTTGCTATGCTTTACTTTCTTTTTCTTTTTCTTTTTTCCACTTTCCTTTACTTTTTTTTAAATGTAATTTTCTCTATTTTTCTATTAGAAGTTGTTACCTTTTATATAAGTAAGGGGGTTTGTGAAATGAGACTATTAACCGTAGGGTTGGGAATGTAATCTCCAAAACGTCAGGAAGTAGTAATTGGACCAAATCTCAAGATGTGTCAATGTAATTTACCCAATATATTATAATCAAACCAAATCAAATTAATTAATTTTTTTTAATAAATTAATTAGATCTCATACTCTACTAAGATAAAATATCCAACACAAAATAACCCTACTTTCCAAACTTGTTCTACCCGACGAGTTATTTATTTATTTATTTATTATTATTATTTTCTCATGGGAACATATTTTTTTTTAATAAGGTCGTATGGCATGGTCTTGGGGCCAAGATGTTAAAGTTGCGGAATTGTATTGGCGCAAGTATTGTTGTGGACAATACATTGGCCAAGTTATTAGGATACTGTTACTAAAATTTTGTTAAGGTCAATCCACAGACAATATTTATGTCAAGTTTGGCTAACTTAAAAAAGTGTATTTATTTCATCTTTTTATCTTTTTTGGGTTACATCAATCAACATCTCCTCTCTACTTTTTCTACACATAATACAAAAAAAGTCAAAAAGTGCACTTATTTAGTCTTCCCAAACTTGGCCTTAGTTTTTGTAAAACAAAAATAGATCAGATAATGTGGTGGAGTTTTATACCTTAAACAGATTAAGAATTTTTTTATAGGTAATTAAATAAAAATTATATATATATATATATATATATATATATGAAAGAAAAGGAACTAAATTGGTATTAAATTGATAAAATTATCACTTATTATGAGTTACATGAACTTGATCAAAAATAAAGAAATAGTAAAATTGCCAACTGACAAGAAAACAGTAGCAATGGTATAGCTAAAATACTCCTAATATGCTAATTGTATACTCTTAGATAGAAATTACTCTTAGAATTCACTTTGTGTGAGTTGTGTTAGATCTCTTCTTTATATTCTACTGGACTTATTTATAGGCTCAACCACACGAGAGAGGAGTAATCTAAACCCATGAGTTCCTCAACAGGCCATACTTTTCTCAACATCATCCATATCAATGTTTGACCACCCACCTAATTCCTTTACATGCTGCACAAATTTAGCAACCAAATTCATAATAACAATAAAAGATGATAAAGATAATACTAATAATAGTAGTAACGAATGTGGCCAAATTTATTCTTGAAAGATGATTTATGGTCTGAATTGACAAACCATAATTGATAGACCATAATTAACTAAAATAGATTTGGCCATAATCGACGGAAAATTAAATTATAGTGTCAACAATACCTCTTCATTTAAACGGATTGAGGATACATGAAATCCAATTGAATGATTTATAAGGCGGCTTGCCACAATTGAAAAACATTTTATGGTGCAAACAAATAAGAAAAAAAGTCCTAATAAAAGTGTTATTGCGTTCAAGTTATTTTGTGCATAGAGTTCTTGTGAGTTGTTACTGATTTTATTATAAGAATGCTTTCCTAGTTAACGATCAACAAAGGCACTAACCCTGATGTCTCAATTTACTGGCTTCATTCCTCGATATCTCGAATAAGGTAAACTGCTTGGATTAAGTTGACTGTGTGATTAGATTTTAGCAAACATAGTAAGATATATTTGTACATTAGTAGAATTAGTTTAGAATAGTAGGTTAACACAACTGTATTGATTCGAATCTAATATCTTACTTTACTAATACCTAAGTGTCTCCTTATGATCACTTGTTCTACATGACGAGTTCGATAAATATTTTGTGTAGCATGTTTTCGATGCAAGATTTCCACACACACACACACACAAAAAAAAATTGAAAATATATTTTTTAATAATATATTAATTCAATAGTATGGATTTGCTTTGGTATTATTGGTTTACTAATTTTAAGCAACATAAATCACAAGTGTAAAAATCAACCATGTACAATGAGAGTTACAATGAGACTTGTGTGATTTTTTAAAGCGGACGTATCAGTGGGGATCAAAAAAAGGTATTTACAAAAAATTAATAAACATTATAAATATTAATAATTAAAATTATAAACTTTTTTTACCTTGTTATAATTAAATTTTTTTTTTATCCCCACTGATTTGTAATTCTCCTATTTTTTAATGTGAAAAATTCAAGTAGGAAAAACTATGGGACATTGTTTAGCCAACCAATCCACCAATAAAGTACAAATTACAAACTTAGGGCCTGTTTGTTTTCAGAGATTGAATGAAGAGTATTGATAGTGAAATGATTGTTAGTGAGGGAGGGGATTGTTAGTGAGGAAAGTGGTAAAATTATGTTTGTTTTGATGATAGTTGTTAGTATGGGAATTGTTAAATTATTTTTATATAAAATAATAAAACAAATAAAAACCATGGTTTTTACTTAACAAAAAACAGAATTTATTAAATATTAATGTTCAAAATGTGCTCTCCAACATTTACAAAAAATAAAAATAAAAATTTGCTTTTGTCTGGTTGACCAGCTGGACATCTCCCAGATGATTGGTAACATCCTAAGCCAAACAAACTATTTTCTAATACCATGTCTCTAGACAGATTATAAATCCCAACATTGAAGGCCCATCCTAATACGTTTTATGAATCCTCTCCCCAAATTTCCAAAAATATTAGTGAGTCTCACTTTCATCTCAATGCTATTCCTTCCTCTATCTTCCAAAACAAATGGACCGTTACCGACTACTAAGTCTAACCAAATTCATGGTGTTGAACCCTCTTAACTAGTTGGTGTGCTCTTTTTATAAAATTAAATCCACAATCTGTCTTCAACGAATAACAATGAATGGTTGAGTATCAAATCCACAATACCTATAGAATCCACCACAATTAACATAATCCACCAAAGTAGTGAATGAATGATGTTGATTAGCTTAGACAATGATCAATTCACAGCTCAATAGTATATGATTTCTTATTACAGTATTTTTTTTATCCTCCCCTCCCCACTATCGGAGCACGCACGGTTTTATTTTTTCACTTGGAGGTTTATGGGCATGGCATCCTTTATAAGGCGGAGCACGCACTGCTACTTGATGTTTATGGGCATGGCATCCTTTATTAGGCGGAGCACGCACTGCTACTTGATGTATGATTAATTTAAGTGTCTTGTTGTTTTGTTTCACTAATAGTTTTGTTGAGTAATACATTCGTGGTTTTATGAATTATTAGCCACTGAATTGTTTCTATCTAATTTGAACCTGGTTTTGATGCAACCAAAACCTGAAGGAGAAAACACACACTTGTGCTCAAATTTGTTGTTTGTTTTGTGATCTACATTTAAAAATGCGTACTTATATTAATAAGTATGCTTGCATATAACATCACTGAATAATTGATTTTCCAGAATCTTTGGACCAGATCTGCCACTGGAATGAGAGAGAGAGAGAGAGAGTTGAGTAATACATTCGTGGTTTTATGAATTATTAGCCACTGAATTGTTTCTATCTAATTTGAACCTGGTTTTGATGCAACCAAAACCTGAAGGAGAAAACACACACTTGTGCTCAAATTTGTTGTTTGTTTTGTGATCTACATTTAAAAATGTGTACTTATATTAATAAGTATGCTTGCATATAACATCACTGAATAATTGATTTTCCAGGATCTTTGGACCAGATCTGCCACTGGAATGAGAGAGAGAGAGAGAGAGCACTAGATCTGCGAGGGAATCACCTAGCAATGTAGGCGTGCGGCGGAGCTCCGATTGCTTCTCAATTTTCGCCACCCTTTTGATTGTGGCTGTTGTTATAGTGGTGGATGAACATATTAAAAAAAAAAAAAATTGAACAGATATATGTTTATGTACTGGATTATATTTGAGTGTTGGTGGTGGGAGATTTCAACAGATAAGGGTTGGTTTGGCTATCTATTTCAACATATATAATTTGGTTTTGCTTGGTATTTCAATAGATAGAAAAAAAAAAATTTAAAAAGAACAGATGTAATTAATTCAAGAGAAAAAAATTGAACAGATAATAAAATTTGGACAGATAGAAAATTTTCTTTGAACAGATAGTCAACAAAAAAATCAACAGGTAAATTAAGAGGTAAAATTGAAAATAAAATGTCCTTCAAAAAAAAATAAAAAATGACTTCTCACTAAACTATCTCACAAATTGTGGATCTCTCACTAATAAAAAAATATTCACGGAACATAACGTCTTATTCCCCTCTTATCTTGTCCTTTTTAACAATTTTCTCTAAAAATTATTCTATAGGTCAGGAAGACTACATGGCCATTTGCCTATCCAATGAGATCACGCCATTTTTCTATCATTTTCTTATTTTTGGCATCATGTAATTCTTAGCCCCCTGCTATTAGTTGAGTACACTGGCAATGTAAAATTCCCGGAAGATAGGATAATTCCTCACCATTAGGGTGTAGAATATGTTAAGCCAACCAATCAGAGTGCAAATGACGAAAAGAAAAATTCCGAACAAACTTTCAGAATAAAGAAGTTTATGGTTTTGAAACCATAAGTTCCAAAATAATTTTAAGGACATGTCTCAATTCCCTTAACACCACCTCATTCCAATTCAAAATCAAAGTGTAATCAACACATGAAGTTTATTCAGAAATCAACTATATCAGATCAAATGATACATAATCTCTCTCTTACAATGTCTATTTTGGAGTTAGATTAGATTCTTAGAACTACAAATTTCATAAATTAATTCACAAACCAATAATGTTTCGTTCTTTTATCCCTAATCATTCCTCCTATGGTTAGTATTGCAGCAAGAGATGACTGCTATTAGATGATAATAGTTTTTATGATCCTCCAACTATGGTAAAAATGTCTACGAAATGTTAGATAATCAGGTTGCTGTGTACGTGCCAAACCTTTCATATTATGAAAAAATTGCAACAATTGTGTAGTCATTGTTCTATACACCTTGTCCAATGGCAATGTACACTTTTTTCTTCATTCCATATTCCGTGTAAGTAAATTATACAGACCCTTGGCCACCATGCTCTCCAGAGTCCAGACTTCAGCTGGTTTTAAAACTAGATGAAATTTTATCCTTAGGCAAATATTGGAAACAACTCTTTGACTCTATCAGACTCCAACCGGGTACTTTAGACATATTCCTTTGTTTCAAAATGTCCCAAATTCTCCCTGCATCATCAAATTTACCAGCATCGGAATAAATGTTGGCCAAAAGGACATAATACCCGGTCCTCTCTGGCTCCAACCCAATGAGTCTCTTTGCAATTCGTTCCCCAACCTCAAGATTACCATGAACTCGACATCCCCCTAATAGAGCCCCAAGTACAGCCCCATCAGGCGTCATCGGCATTTCCTCAATAAGCCTTTCAGCCTCTATAAGCAGCCCTGCTCGGCCCAAGCAATCAATCATACAAGCATAGTGTTTAAGTTCGGCCACCACACCATAATCCTTCATCATTTTGAAACAAGACCGTGCAGTTTCCACCAATCCACCGTGGGTACAAGCAGACAAAACACCAAGAAACGTTACGTCATTGGGTTTTACTCCTTGCATACGCATCTGATCAAAAAGCCCGAAAGCAATATCTAAACAACCGCCCAATCCGTACCCTAAGATCAAAGCACTCCACGAAATGACATCTCTCTCCGGCATTTTATCAAACACGTTACGCCCATAACACAATGCGGCACATTTTACATACATATCAATCAAAGCATTCCCTAAACTTAACCCTACGCCTATACACCTTCTCACACACCACCCATGAACACTCTTCCCATGCTTCAACCAACCCAATTGGCCACAAACCAAAAGCAAGCTCACCATAACCACCCCATCAAGCTCAACTCCTACACAAACCATGTCCCTAAACACAGACAAGGCCAACATGGGCTCCTCATTTTGAGCATACCCAGCCAACATGGATGTCCACAACACCGAATCCCGCAGAGGCATTTCATCAAACACAACCCTTGCATAAAAAACTTTCCCAAAAGTCATATACATGAAAACCAAAGCAGAAGCAACAAACAAACTCCTCTCCATTCCCATCTTCACACAAAACCCATGTACCAAAATCCCGCAATCGATCGACCCAGCAGCAGCACAAGCCCTCAGAACAAGAGGAACCGTGAAAACATCGGGTAGAACATCGGAGTTACGCATTTGGAGGAACAATTCTAGTGATTTGAGGGGCGACCCAGAACGTGAAAACTCTCCGATTATGATGTTCCAGGAGTAGATGTTCCTGTGGGGCATGTGGAAGAAGACGGAGAGAGCATCTGGGGAAAGTTTGTTGAGGCGGGAATATGATAAAAGTAGCTTGGAACTGAGGATTATATTGCTGTAGAGGGAAGTACGAAGGAGGCGAGCGTGGAGATGGCGAAGATGGGTTGGGCTTGGGGAAGTGTGGAGGAGAGGGAAGTAGAAGGAAACGAGGTTGGGTATTTGTATATGTGATGGGATCGTAGAAGAAGAAGAAGAAGAAGAAGAATGTGTAGAGAATGAGAAGAAGAAGAAGAGGTTTTTGTTGGAGAGAGCTTTTGTTATCTTCTGCATCAAGAGCTTCTGCTTTCATTTCAGCATATCTGTGTTAGCTCTCTAATACTAACACACTTCTTTTCGGAAAATCATTCAGTATTGCTGAGTATCACGTATCTATCTATACGATTTTACTAATTATTGTTTATTATATTTTGAGCAATGCTACGTATCATGAAAAATCTTTCATGAAAATGATCATGAAAGATTTATGACTCTTAGATTACACTTAAAATAAAACACCACACACTAATCAAGATAATCTAAGGGTCATAAATTTTTCATGATCAGTTTCATGAAAAAATTTTCATGATCCCTATCTTTTCTCTTATATTTTTCCATCACTTAACACCAAATAATATGTTTTACTTTTTTTACCAATTCACTTCTCATGATTCACTTTTCACAAAATTAAAATTTATTATTTTTCGTGTTTTTTTTATTATTTTCACTGAATTTTTTTAATATTTTAAATAATTTTTTTTTAATTTTTAAATGCACCTAACTTAAATATATTTAGAAAATATAATATTTATGAAATTTTTTTAAAACAAATTCATTAAATACTAAAAATAAAAATAGAAACGAAAATTCAATATATCTTAGTATTCTTGTATATTTATTATTATTTTTAAATATTTTATTTTTGGATACATCTAAGTAACGTACATTTTAAAAAAATAAAAAAACTACTTAAATTTTAAAAGTATTCAATAAAAACAAAAAATTAAAAAAAACTCAATTTAAAAAAAATTAAATTCAAAAACTTAAAACTAAACACATTGAATATGAATCAAAAAAAACTCAATTTAAAAAAAATTAAATTCAAAAACTTAAAACTAAACACATTGAATATGAATCCGGATCACCCGTCGCCTTCCCCTGTCGCCCCCAAAACGACGTCGTTTTGGGGGCAAATTTTCAACAAAAAAAAAACGTAGAGAAGAGGGAGGAAGGAGAGGAAGGAGGGAGGAGGGAGGAGGAGGAGGAGGAGGAGGAGGAGGAGCCGTCCTCGTCCCTCGCCGCCGTCGCAGCCGCCGTTGCAGCCGTCGCAGCAGCTCCACCTCGTCGCAGCACCTGCGACCGCCGTCGCCTCCGCCTCCGACCTGTCCCCCACCTCCTCCTCCTCCTCCTCCTCCCCTGTATTTATGGCCCCCTCCAGTCCGGCCCTTCCCCTCCTCCTCCTCCTCTCTCTCCCTCCCTCCCTCTTCCTCTCCTTCTTCCCTCTTCTGCGTTTTTTTTTTTTTGAAAATTCACTCCCAAAATGACGTCGTTTTGGGGGCGACAAGAAAGGGCGATAGGGAAGGGCGACCGACGATCCATTCCCCATTGAATATCACCTAACAGAAAATCATAAGCCTCATTTTCTCTGACATTTCATTGTCTAACGAAGAGTACCCAATAACTTTCCCTTCTTTTGTTTTTCTAGAATTTATTTATTTATTTTTTTTTTTGGGGAACAATGTTGTTTCACAAGGAGGTTGGTTGTTTGAAACTTCAAGTGACATTTTTTTTTTAATTTTTCTTGTTAGTTTTTAGTAATTTTTTTAAAAAAATTATGTCAAAATTTTGACTTTTTTGATTCATCATGTGTAGATCAATTTAAAAATTACTTTTTAATTTTTTTTCTTTTAAAATGTTGGTAAAAGTTCGCTATTTTTTATTTATTTATTTTTCCTGATTTAAAAAAAAAAAATTGATTTCCTGATTTATCTTGTCAAGTAGAATTTAGAATATTATTACTTTTTCAAAAATTAAAAAAAAAATTCATTACAAAAAAAAATAAGCCATTAAAAAAAAAAAAAAACTCAAACACCCACTATTACATTTAAATTTAAATTTTGCATTGATCTCTATTATTTAAAAAAGGAATAATTTGATCCCTATATACTTTAAGTTTAGTTTTGATTTAGTCTTATAGTTCAAATTTCTACGTTAAAATTAATAATTTTTAAACATTAGTCAATTTCCATAGATGTACACAAAGAATAGATTAAAAAAATTTAAATAAATGATCCAATTGTTCAATTTAAAACTATAAGAATCAAAATCTAATTTGAATCAAATTATAAGAATAAAAAGTGTAATTTACCCTTAATTGAATTTAGAGAAACAAATTGAGAATACCAATACACAATTTGTGAAGGAAAAATATTTGTAATTAAAAACTTGTTCAAAATTTCAAATGGGAGAAAATAAATTTAAAAGGAGTGCTGCTTAGGAATGTCAAAGGGCAGGGCGGGGCGGGTTGGGTTTTACACTCTTCACCCCCGATTTGCGATTTTAATTTTTTTTCCCATTCCCATTCCTAAAATGGGGCCATTTTTATACCACCACACCCACCTCTTCCCACCACACCAGTTTCTTTTCCACCCTCTCCTCCGGCCCTTCCCTCCACCATGCCACCCCACAACCCTAGCCACCACAGCCACCACAACCTCTTGGACCCTCGTCCCCCTTGTGACCCTGCAACTTCCAACCCAACTTGCTGCTAGAACAAGGTCAGGTGCAAGGGAAGAACATGCACAGTGCAAGAGAAAACTCTGCAAATCTTCTTCATTTTCACTGCAATGCTGGTGGATTAGTTTTTGAAAGCTTTCATCTTGAACTTTTGAAATTGGAATTCTTGACACAGCTGTCAGGGCCATAGCGACTATTCATCACCATAGAGTCCTCCATTTGTTACTTTCTTGATTGATTGAACTAGTGCTTGTAATGTTAGATCACCTGAGTTCTCTTCCACCTCCAGTGTTCTATATATGTAAGAGCTTTAAGTGAAACAAATAGTCAATGAATCGTTCTAAAAAAAGAGTCAATGAATGAATCTGTCTGTGCATGGAAGTTGATTGAATAATGACTCCAATCAATTTGAGGTAGCAATGAAATGTGTATGAGATTACACTCCAAACATAACAAGTCCATCTCAATGTACAAGCATTAACACACTAAAAATACCATTTTGTTTTGTAAATTTACAATCCAAACATACCAACTCTAACTTACCAACCCGCAAAGGGTTGTGAGGCTGAACCAAATACGAAGAATGAATCTATATTTGTGCATGGAGGATTGAGAGCAATGCAGTGGTGGTGGGTTCCAATTCGACAAAGGTAAAATTGCTTGGTCGAAGGTCCAATACAGTAGGTAGCAGACCTGTTCGTCTAGGTTCTCCTCATTTTCATGTCCCAGTCTAAAATATTATTCAGTGCACTCATAGCAAATCTGTTCTTACATTACAACTCCCCTCTATCTTCTGCTATTAATCATGCTATTAATCAAAAGGAAACGTCTGAGAACACATCACACCCATGTGAAAGGGTTGTATTCAATTCTGTGATCGGTTTCTGTGTTTCTAGAACTATAACCAAAAATAGATTTTCCCTCCCCAGATTTAAGCATTCCAGATAAAAAAAAACATGTGCCCCTATTGTGTTTCCCCTCTCCCCTGGTAATTGGACTTGGAGGCAAGGATTTGCAGTTGACGGGTTTTTTTTTCTCTTCCTATCCCTATTCCATTTACATTATCTCATTCACACAAATCAAACAACTACACTGAAACAATGACTACTTTTTCAAGGTTTATGTTGAGCATGGATCGATGACCGAACTGCTTGCTGAAAAGATAGAGCTTTCCCATTCACAAGCACTTGTTCCAAGAAATCCACACGGACTGATCTGAACTGGTAAAACTGGTACAATAACACGCGTATGAAAACAAAAGTTGTCATGAAATTATTTTTAAGAGTGAGGAAACAATTCAAATAAAGTCTTTAATAACTTCAAAGAATATAATATACCATGAAATGAATTACTCAGACGACAAGATGTTAGTTTTGGTTCCACAACTATGACTAGCATATTAAAATTAGGGTTAAATTCATTTTACCCCCTTATGGTTTGGGGATGGAGCACTTTACCTCTTTATCGTTCAAATATAGCCAGAAAGTCCTCATGTAGTTTTGGACTAAAGTGCTACCATTAGTTTTTCCATCCAAACTAACAGAATGAATATTACACACTATTTTTTAGATTGGGTTCTGTTTTCTGTAAAATTCAAATGAAATTAACACAACGAAATGACAATTTTACCATCATAGCATATTAAAATTAGGGTTAAATTCATTTTACCCCCTTATGGTTTGGGGATGGAGCACTTTACCTCTTTATCGTTCAAATATAGCCAGAAAGTCCTCATGTAGTTTTGGACTAAAGTGCTACCATTAGTTTTTCCATCCAAACTAACAGAATGAATATTTCACACTATTTTTTAGATTGGGTTTTGTTTTCTGTAAAATTCAAATGAAATTAACACAACGAAATGACAATTTTACCATCATTTTCTCCAAACCTAAAATTAGATTAATATGTTAATTAAAATAAAATACAATAAATTAAAATATAATTAAGAATTATCTAAAATATAAAATAAAATTAAGAATTGATTTATTTTACAATTAAATAAAATATAAAATAAACAATAATTAGGAATTGATCTAAAAATGTAATTAAATTAAAATTAGATTAACATGATAGAAATTATAATAAATATTTAAGAATTTAGAATTATTTGTGATCTAAAATATAATTAAATTAAAATTAAAATTAAAAATTAAGAATTACAAAAAATAATTAAGAATTTATAATTAATTTTGATTTAATTGAATTAATGCTAGACATTATAAATTATGTGTACGAGAAATCAGAGAGAAAGAAAATAACAAAAAAATATAGGATTTGAGGGTATTATAGTCATTTCACATCTATAGTTAACGGTGTCAATGGTTGCATTTTAGTCTAAAACAACATGGGGGCCATATGGCCATTTTTAAAAAATAGGGAGGTAAAGTGCTATCAAGTTATACCACAGGAGATAAAATGGATTTTGTCCTAAAAATTAAAGAAATTAGGATAGACCAAAAAAAAGAACATACCTTTCCTTTCCAAGAAAAATCAACATTACGGTAATTAGGCTCCACCAGTGTGAGCTGATCTCCTTCTTTAATCTGTGAGGGAACCACCAATCTCAGTAAATTATTAAATTAATGAAAGATATACTAAGGCTATGTTTGGATCATGAATTTTGGTAGGGATTCAGAAAAGAAAAATATGGGTGAAATGCAACTATATTTCATTCACATTTCAACCACTTTTTCCTTTCCCTTTCCCTTTCCAATTCCAAATTCCTACCTAAATCTATAATTGAAACACAGCCTAAAAGTAAATCAAAGCTGCTCATTTGAAGCACGTTGGGAACTATTCTTTTTTCGCTCCACAAGAAGGAACTAGCTCTTTTGCTGAACTAGCTCAACAAAACTTTCTTCCTTTAAATTCTTTTTTGTTTCAATTAAAAGGGAAAAAACTTAAAAGAATATTTAGAGACCCTTCATATGGATAAAGAGAAGAGAAAGTGAAGTTCCAATATAAAAGGATCTCCAATCTATCAACCAGAGTCAAGGAACTTACTGCATCATCACGTATTCCATACACCGAGAGGACATAGCAAAAGTGATTTGAATCACACACCAAATAGTATCTGCATAATCAAAGCAAATGTAGTTCCACCTAAATAAATAAATGGTGATACACAAAACACTAATGTCCCAAACATGCAGCCTCTGGCCAAAAGGAACTTACAAGGGAGCCACATTCTCATGCTTCACAAAGAATAGCACTTTTCCAATAATTGCAACTTGTTTGTTCAGACCCTCTGACAGACTATCTATAGTGGCTCTTCTGTATGAAGGATTCACTTGCAGAAAAAAGTTCCAATTATATGAACTGTTAAATAACAGGTTCAATGGAAAGAGAGTAGGCCGCTAAATAAAGCATAGAAGAATCAGGTAGCTTACAATTAACTGCAGCTAGAGATGACGCCAAAGAAACAAGTCGTTTCGTCTTAGTTTGTCCCTGTAAAACAAAGCAACATTAGTGCAAATGTTCTCTGTGCAAAGAAGCTATATCAGTCTGGGAAAAGCAATGAATTGATTTAATTATTCAAAATGAACATTGGATTCTTGGGTTCTTTTTCAGAAAGAAAAGAAAAGAAGACAGAAGTTCATCGTTTGAACATGGTTGCTGGAGTTCTACAGGGGTGAGGTATTGATTGAACATTGAAATACACCGGGGTCAAGGAACTAGCAAACCAACCAAACATGGATGATTGATATGGTGTATTGAATAGTATGCAATGTTCTTAGAGGACAAAAAATTATAGCTTTCAACAAAAATTACGTTGTGATGGAATCTAAAATGGGAAGTAATGGCAAGGCCAAAAGCTTGATCTGGCTTTGGAACTGCAATTCCATGATTCCTTTTAACAGCTTTTTACTATTTGGAATTCTATTGTGATAGAACCATGATTTTTTTCCCTGGGGGAAATTGGAACTAACTTGAGAAATGCTAAGCTTATCAATATATTCAAATTACTAATGAACTATACTGCAATATAAAACATTGAAACCAAGAGTACTATTATGGAATTGAAATTACAACTAATTCTTCCTCATGGAAACTATCCAATTGTTTAGTAAAGATTAACTATTCCTTGATATCAATACTCTGGCTGTCACACGTCTCACCAGCACCGAGGGTATAGTGTAAAAGGTTAACCCTTGAATATCAACTAGAAATCCAGTTCACCACCCACTGCCGCTCATACTTCCAAGAGTTGGACACACCAATACTGATTTCATTTCAAGAACTGAAGCCCCTACCCATATCCTTTCGATATGAGATCACATACGCTTAAGAACAATGCTCTTATCCATGTCATCATTACCAAAACTGACATCAAAATTTCTAAAACCATGGGCACATACTATCAATTCTCTACTGTCATAAAAGTACTTCACTGCCATCATGAAAATTCAATTGTGATAATATGCCAACAAATTTTCATGGGCATGCATTCTTCTACAACCCCAGTGTCTCATCATAGTGCAGTTCGTGAAATGTATATGCAAGCCTGAAAAACGAACTATAGCAAACTATTTACGCGTAGAAGGAACTCATTACCCTCAACAAACTCTCCAACTTGTCAAGAAGGTTGACTATCTTGTGAGCCTCCTCAGCAGCATTCAGACCAGGATCCCTTGAGGCAGCACTTTCAAAATTAGTAAGAGCCCTCTCATAGTTCTCTAGATATTTGTTTACCTGAAATGAATACATGAATTTTGGAAATCGTACACATGTAACAGACAAATAGTCAAATATGAGCTTTCATTCAACAAAAGAGCGTTGGACAAAAATAATAAATCTAAAGATGGATCAACGGCTGATCATGGACAACCAAATACAAAGATTATGTAACAACCTTAAATTAGAGGTGGTTGGGAAAGGGAAAAGATATATACATGCAGATACCTACATATAAGCCATGACACCAGAATAGTAGGATTCCAATACCTACCCAGCTATTCTACAGCCAGGAAGAATGTCCAATGTCAGCTGAAGTATAACAAAAAGAAAATCTTCCCTGAATCTAAAATACAAAATTTCATAAAACACATGATTTGCCTACTACCATGATATAGAATTTCTTTCAGTCCTTTTTTTTTATTATATAATTATATAATTGCGCTTGACTGCTTTCAGTCCAATTTCATTATTTGAGCAGTGAAAAACTTTTTAGAAACCAATGAAACCAAAAGCTAGATATCATTATATGTTCAGAGATTTTGGGAAATTTAAATCCATTTCCATCAAACATTCACTTTGACCAATACCGCATCCATGGGATTTGTAAGCTTATTTTAAACACCAAACAAGCATGATGCCAAAGTTTTCATGACTAATTTAAGGAAGCCACAGCCAATGTTAACTAGAAGGCTCATTATTTTGGTTTTTGAATGGGAATGGAAACATGGCGAGCAAGAAAGTCTAAGCCTAACCAGACCTAGTTGGAATCTCCCGAGCTTTTCCTAATTGTATAGTAGTTAGTTTTATTTTGATTCATAAATAAAAAATAAAAATAGTGCAACTAATTTGCATAACAATCCATGAAGCACACTACTCATTTATGCAATGTGCCTTGAAACTTCGAAATTATTTGGCATTATTGGCTAATGAAGTATTTGAATTATATCCAATATCTAAGATGACGACAGGTAGTTGTTTTGAGGAAGACATACTTTAGCATTTAAATTGTTTAAAGCTATACGTTTGTGAAGTTGGTAATATTTCTGGTGATTTGCAACATGTATAACTTCTTTGTTATCATATAGTACAGCCACTTTTTTTTTTGACAAACAACAAACTAATCATGTACCAAAATGGAATTGAAAAGAATGGTCAGTTACGATGCCAAGCTCCTTACCCACTAGGTCATGTGATCATGTCAATAAAAGTAATAAGACTTCAATTTTGTGTAATTTCTACATATGTTTTGATGAAAATCAAATTCTATGATTCACGATTCGGTTGGATTCATGATTTAAAAGCTGGAAGTTTGTTTCACAATTTGAACTTAATTCAAAAACTATGTTGGTAAGCAATAACAAATGAATTATCATTAAATTATCATTTAAATTACCATCACCCATATAAATTATCATTACAACGTCAGATCAAATTCACACCTTACAATTCTTACACCTTCAAGAACTTTTGGCTCATTTCATCTCCCAACAAGTGAATCCCTGGATAAAATGCACACCCCCATAGTTCGTCATGCAAAACAAAACCAAGTTTGATTGGAGGTGCAGAACTTTCCCATTGATACCAAACTCTATTTAGAGTTCTGTTCAAAGTTACACAAGTTCATGGATAAAACACAACGATGTCCTATCAAGTTGATACTTGTTGTGCATGATAAGCCCCAGACAAGAATTCAATCTGATGTTAGACTTCATAAAATATGGCTTGGAGGAAGGTTTTTATGAATTAACAGCTATAAAATAATAAAAAAATAGCTATTTTTACGCCAAGTGTAAGTTGGCCTAACATCACAATCAGTGATATAATGATAGAGATAAAATGAAAGCAATATGAGTATCATTTAATTAATCATGATTGGTTGATAGAGATAAATGATATGCATAGACATGCTGTGAAACATTGAATTAACAAAGGTACATTAGAATAACAATAACTATTGAATTATTAACCACCAATTCATCCATATGCTTAAGATGTTAGAAAGAGGGGTAACTTTAGTATTTATATTCTCAACACGGATCCTCATGTGTGGCCAAGCTCTTCTTCATAGTTAGTGTAAACACATGCAAGTATTTTAATAATCAAGTAAATAGTGAGGTTCAAACATAAAATCTATTGTCTGCTCGAGTACCATATTGAATTGTTACCCACCAACTCATCTAAAAGCTTAAGATGTTAGAAAGAGGGGTAACTTCATTATTTATTTTGTCAACAATAACCATCCAAAGAAGATTTTTAAGAAACAAAAATAAGCTATTGACCAAATAGGAAAAACAATAAATAGCAGCACAAGAAATTGGGCGATACTACTATAATTTTTAAAAAATAAAATAAAATAAAATGGCCAATACTTCACGCTTTGAATTATCCTAAGAAGAAAAATAACTTTTTTTTTTTTCGATAAATAAAAAACAGAACTTTATTTCATCAGAATTAAAAAAACAACTGAATCACAAGAATATTTTAAGCTTTTCAATCATAACAAATTGCAAAAGAAGTTTTTTCCCGAACCAACCATTATCTGAAAGAACATTGTTAAGTAGATGTGTACACAAATCTTCTATATATTGATAATTTAAAAAGGAAAAAAATATTTATATCACTAATTTTTGGATTTAAAATTTTTGCAACTTGAAGTTTTAACTTTTAACAAATCAGTGGACAACAGAAATCAATCATAATATTCATACAAGTAACGTTTATTTGTCATTTGGTTAATTTATAATCTTAGCTTAGCTCTTTTGTATTTCTAGAAATCTTATTTTTATTCTGAAAATGCTTTTTCAAATTAAAAAACAAAAAACAAAAAAGAGGAGATTTTGCAGCCCTACAATTGCAGTAATATACATGGGTTTAGAACTAAAAAGCATATATAAGCAATAATTGCACAAGATAACACTTGCAAAGGATGACACTAGGTGCTGTTTGATAAAACTGAAAATTAAGTACGAAAAACTAAATGCTGAATTTTTTAATCTAAAAAGTTGCTTGGTATATACTGAAATTTAAATACTGATTCAATTAAGCTATTTGATCTATACAAGTAGCTGAAGTCAAAAATAATTAAATTTTTAATTTTTATTTTTTACCTTGAAATATTTCATTAAATTCTTTTATCACACTAATACAATTGGTAAAAAAATTATTGTAATCGTAATTATAACATTATATTTCAAAATTTTAAAAGATTATAATTATTAGGATTTTTCTCTCTTGTATATGTTTTAAATCATTCATGCAATAAAATAATAATTACAAAAATAATCAATTAAAAACTTATGTCGTATTTCATCATTTTGCTCATGGTATCGCCAATATCAAATGTCCGTAGAATCCTTTCACATGTAGGAATTATAAAAATTTATCATAACTTATCTTAGAAAATTGGTGACAAAAAAAAAAATTGTTCTTCAATTTCTAATAATAACTAAAAAATTGTCAATGTGCAAATATGATAATTACATTTATAACTCAATATAAATAGTGCAATTGCATTGCAATTTGCTCATGTAAATTGAGCATAAAATCGTGATTAGCTTGTGTCAATTCCCCTCCTATTTTTTCAATTTGTTTCAAAAATAGATTCAGAAAACTCAATCAAAAGATTTTGTTTGAAAGACCTACTAGAGAAAAACCAGATGAAGAACCAAGATAAAGACATAATAAAAAATCCCACAAACATATATATGTATATATATGCAAACATACACAAGTTAATACATATAAAAAATAAAAACTCATAAACAATGTATTCATGTATATATATGCAAGTTAAATCCAAATAAAAAAATAATTTTTTAGATTTACCTGCTTGTCGCAATAGATGAATTGAATTCTTGGAAGAGCAGCCAAAACAGAGAGGGAGAGCAGACAAAGCAGCCAAAACCGCGAGGAAGGATGCTTTGAGAAATAACTTTTCTAAACCTATATGACTTAGCACCTCTTTTTTCCCCCACTTAGTGCGTTAAGTGATGAGAAAAAAGTAGGGTTTTTTTTACTGAAAATTTTACCTTTTTTAAGTGGGACTTAATTTTTTAAGTGATACCATATATGTACAATCAAACCAACTTAATTAAGAAATCACTTAATATTTTCAGTTCTAAGAGCTGAATTGGGTTATCAAACACTCCCTTAATGAAGATAAGAAAGAATCTTAAGGCTAATGTTGAAGCAACATTAAGCATTTCAACATTTTTTTTTGGATAAATAATCAAACTTTATTAGAAAAACATCAAAGTGATGCAAAGAATACAAAGAAAACTAAACCAACCCACCTTGGGCAAAACAAACAAACTAATCAAATCCTCCACAAAATCTACAAAAGTCAAAACGTCAAGATCAACCGAACCCGTAATCCAACTATGCAACACCAAGAGAAACCTACTTTCTAACCAAAGAATTGAGTAACACACATACTGAAAACATGCCTGTTACACTCCAACCAAACCAATCAGAGCAAACAATGAGAAGCAAGTAACCAAGCCTTCTGACGCCTTTTCCCCACCCTTGCCTCACCCCAACTTTGTAATACACCCAACACGGATCCCGGCTGCACCCAAACCAAACTAAACGAAGCAACAATAAAACTCCATAACTGAGATGTGACCGGACAATGAATAATGATAAAGCCAACTAATAATTAATAGTTAGTCTCTAAAGGAAACTCTAGATGCTATTTTATGGGTCTTGCAGCCCTAAGGGCTGTCAGTAAGAACAACATAAAGCCAAAATATTTATAATTCCAATACACATTTTACATATCCCAAAACATTTTTACATATTTTTATTCATTTTTAACATATTTCAATACACTTTATACACATTTTCCAACACTATTATCAAAATAGCAAATTAGCTATGGCACCAATGTGGTACGAATTTGAAACGTATCAAATTGCTGTAATACTAGTACCAAAGGTGCATCACAATAGTGAACTGAAAAGGTAAAAGGTAAAAGGTAAAACAAAGAACTATATCATGCAGATATTTTATTACATGACATCATGTAAATTCTCAATATCAAGGACTTGTTCTAGTGGAAAGGATGCCTGCAAGTATAATTTTCCTACTTAGGAAGAGCCCTTCTCCATCTTTCTTAAGCCAAAAGTGGAGCTTAGCTCTCATACGGCTCAACTACTATAGTTAGAGATTTCGTTCATCATAGAATAGAAATCTATAAATAGAGAAGCCGGCAGACAAGCATCGGCGCATTATGTCCAATTTCTGCTGCTTAGCGTTCTTAGCATGTAAGTGATGGAGACCAATGGCGAATAGCAGCAATCGAGAGGAGGACTCGTTCACTTGATTGACCATTCTACCATGGCATCAACCACCCTCACTATTAATCTCTGGCTAAAATGACCATTCCAACCCAATTTACGCAGTTATAATTAACGAAGCCTCACAAATGTCCACAAGATTTACAAATAAATGTTACTTCACTAAATAAGAGAGAAAAACTATCCCCCCCCCCCAAAAAAAAAATAATAATAATAATAGTAATAAAATAAAATAAAATAAAACTCGACTTGATTTGCCCTCCTAGTGATTTGGGTCAACACATGAATCTGTTTGGCCATTTCATTATACGATTGCCCCAGCCAAGATAATTTTTGCCTTTTCCATTTCCCTTAACTCTTCAGTGCCACTACTTCAACTACATTTGCTCCTTCCACTGGTGCAGAATTGGCCTACATTGTATTAATCTATGTCACCCACCTGGGTCAACTCACTTTAGCAATGCCTCACATTATGCATGCATTATTTCACAAAACTAGAAGCCCAAGCCTCTTTTTTTTTTCTTTTTTTTTTTTGTTAAATAGAAGACCAGCCTCCCATGCCATCAAGTGCAACTGCTTTTGTATGTCTCACAGTGATAGGCAGTGTCAATCACATAACAGTCAGGAAGAACCTCACCAACACCCATTCAGCTATATTTTCTATCCTTGTAATGACCAAATTAAGACAACAAAATTGGTAACTCAAAACTAATCCACCACTGCTACACCTAATTTTAATAGAAGTAAACTACTAGTGCGTTTAGTATTGTTTTCGTTTTCTGTTTTCTGTCCATGAAAACATTTATGAGAAGAAGAAGAAGAAGAAAAGAAGAAGAAACTGATTTATATTCTTAATTTGCTTAATCCCTAGTTTTCAGACTGGCAAAAGTAAACATCAACCTAAAATAGCCAAATGGTCCATATCCATAAATCATGTGAGGCATGGACACATAGAATATGAAGAAATGTTGCAAAGTTACATATTTGAAGAATCTTCAGTTCTAGCAGACAAAAAAAGAAAGTTCCAGAAAATCATAAAATTTAGAAAGGTGAAAGTTGGGGACTAAAAAAAACAACTTACTGTTGCACAGTTGAAAGAGAGATCAGGGTTGGAATTCATACTCTCATCTTTTTCCTGGTACAAATCATAAAATGTTAGAACATCTTCATACTTCTGAAAGGCAAAAATCACAACAAAAAGGCTGACAATATGTTTCTGTATAAAAGAATATCATAGAAACTTAACACATTCAGCAACAACAAAAAAATCACAAGAATCCATCAGAAATTGGATTCAAACAAAAACCTAGTACTGTGCACACTTACAGCATTTTGATATGCTTTTAAAGATTGCAGAAGTTTGCTGTGATCCCATGCTCCAGTCACAAAGAAAAATGTGAGCCATGCATTTCCTAGGTTGTCTGTCAGGAAGATGTAAAGATGTTAAAGAAAGAGAATATAGACATTAACTGTTAAAATTCAATGTATAAAGAGAATTGTATAGAGAATGAATGATGTATTATTGATTGATATGTATGTTAATTTTTATTACAATGATTCATACTTACAGCATTTTGATATGCTTTTAAAGATTGCAGAAGTTTGCTGTGATCCCATGCTCCAGTCACAAAGAAAAATGTGAGCCATGCATTTCCTAGGTTGTCTGTCAGGAAGATGTAAAGATGTTAAAGAAAGAGAATATAGACATTAACATTAATAAAAATAAAATGAAACTTTAGGCACCAAAAAGTGGGTAAACAAATATGTGCCGATGGAATAAACAAGGATTTAAAAAGGGGGGCGTTAATGCTACGGACATAATGGTTGTAAGGTGCCTTTAAAGCTTCAGGTTGTGAAAGGGCAATAAGCTCACAAAAGTGAAGAGGTCAACAAAATAACTTTTCTCCCTCTCACTCCTCAATACATCTCTCTCTTTTTTTCTCCCTCTTTCTGTCTCCTTTTCTGTTTGTAGTGATAGCTATCATCTCTGCAACTGTCTTGGCTGTCTCAGATGAGAGAAAAACAGCCATTCCAACATTCACCTCCTCAGCAACACACCAAACCTTCTCAAAAATCATCCTCATTCACATCACTTAGGATTATTTGCATCCTTTTTAATAGAACTTACACATTTTGTACATCTAAAAGGTTGTTTCCTTCAATGCGAGAAAAGACGTATGGCTGAAGCTAACTCGGGGAAGTGAATTAAAAACTAACCTGATAGACAATAATGAAAAGTACACATCAAAACTGATCTCAATCTCTGTATTGGCAGTTCAACATCAGCAAAGGCCAACAGTTCCTATCTCTCCACATGCACCACACAACACACATGGCCATGGGGGCTGCAATCCAAGCCTTCCTTTATCTCTGCAATTTGCAAGCTCCTGCCTACCGCTCATGATGCCATCATAACCCAATGAATACCAAACAAGAAAATAAACAAAGCTCTCTCGCTTTGGGGTGGGTCTCACTTTTGACAATCTCAAGCTGGTCAAACTGTCTTCATTAGGTACATAATTAATATTACTACCCTCATAGTTTATGCATATGATTTAGTAAAATGTTGTACCCAGCGCACAAGCCTGTCACTTACAGCAGGGCCTAAGTGAGGTGATGGGTAGGTAGCCACAAGGCTAGGGCACATAGCACCAAAAATGATATAGGGGAAATGATAAATGTATCCAAAATTTAAAGTAGTGATTGTTATCATTACATAATGCTGTAACATAACCGGATGGGTCACCTCCACTACCCCTTACAGCCACAATATTTACTGGAATAAAAGTCACAGGTGTAACTATTGTTATGGTTCCTTAACAGATCTTTATGACTGCTATGGCTATTGTAACGGCATAATTGGCTCTAACAAAATAAAAGCTTAATTTTTTTATTAAGTTTTTTCCCTTTCAACTTCTCAATCTCATACAAAACACACTATTGGCCTCTAAAAAACCTAGATGTACAAGATTTTTGTCACCAACCCTCAAATCTACATGTGAGCATCTCGATCCTTAAACTAAAGTTTGCAAACAAGGTTAGATCTATTTTTCCATTAATTTTCCAGTTTATCCCTTCAAGATAACTTAGATTTGTGATTACTAATATAGAAATTCTTTGTTTAGATAGGATTTGTAATTACTAACTTAGATCTTCTTAATCCTGCAAACTTAAAACACAATGTAACACTATTCTATAAACTATTAGTAACAAAATACATAATATTAAAGTGGTGCATTATGAATTTATGACTCAAGAAATGATTAACTGTTGAAAGAAAATATGTAAAACTCTCTTAATATGGGACTCAGAACTAGTATAAAAATCAGTACATATATTAGACCATGTTTTGAAATTAAACAAAACCCACCCAAAAATATTTTAATCCCAATAAATGTAATTTTGAAATAACAAAACATATGTATCTGTAAGTTTTCGCAAAGTTGCCTGAAAAAAAAAAATTGCAGCTCTAATTGCTGAAACTGTTATGCCACACCCATCACACCCGAAAACCAAATCATTGCCACTGTTACCATTATAGTGACTGCAACCATTACTTCAAACTTTGAGCGTGTCTTCAATTCCTAAAGGAATATGCCTTTACTTTGTTGAAGGAGAATGGAATGCTTAACTGTGAGCCAATAGATACCCCAATTGGTCAAAATCATAAATTGGGTGAAGACTTTAGAGTGTTTTGCTAAATGCTAGAAGATATTTGAACACGGTTAGGAAACTTATCTCACACTACGTAACATAGTCTATGCAGCTAGCTTGGTGAGTCCTTTGTGCATGTCCCTCAAACTTTTCTTAACCAGTCCCTAAAGTTAGCTCCCGGGAAAGGTTTTTGCCAAACATGGTTATTTGAGAGTTAAATCCTATACAAACGCTAACTAGGTGGGATCAATTATGGACTGGGGGTCCACTTCAAGATGTGGGTACCTTTGTTATAGATAATTGTTACACGGTCTTGGATAGAACTCAACCCCAAAAGTTAGCTCAAGAGGTTATATGCTTAACATTACTTTAGTACTTGGGCGATCTAGGACTTCACTTCACACCCTCTCTCACGCCTAGCGTGCTTACTCGGCAGCACCTGCAGCATGCAGGCTAAGGACACGCACCCTACCAATCTCTGAGTACTCTAGCTCTGATACCATGTTACACGGTCTTGGGTAGAACTCAACCTTAAAAACGAACTCAAGAGGTGAGGGTATATACTTAACATTAATTAAGTACTCGGGCGACGTCGGACTTCACTTCACAGTAACCTCACTTGACGTAGTAAAATGAACAAAATTTAAAGTGATGGCACATGAAGTGTGCAAACTCTCGTGGTTAACGGTTTTGTTGAAGGAGATAGACCTTCTCTTTAAGGAGCCTATGAGGCTTCATTATGATAATAAATCTACTATTAGTATTGCTCATAATCCAGTTAAACATGAGAGACTAGGCATATTGAAGTATATAGGCATTTTATAAAAGAAAAGTCGACAGGAGAAAATGGGAGATACACAAAAGGTCTTCCAATTATTATTTTCAACTGTATCCCCAGCGAGCTCAATGTGTGATGTCTATATCACACCAACTTGAGGTGCAGTGTTGACTAGCATTATAAAAAATATGGTGGCTACTTTTTTAGTTAAGCATAATTGATTATAAATAACAACAGTCAGAGGGAGATCATAATTGAAACTACCGATCAATTCTTTCTTTGGCTACATTAGCAACAGTCTCTGTTCTTTCCTTCTTTTCTTTTTCACTCTTTCTTTCTTCTTCTTTTTTAACAATAAAATAAGTTCTGCAGTCAACTTATTCTTACACCAAGCATTCTCTTGAAGAGGAGTAATTAATGGACTAATGGGTCTATTGTTCATAGGTTTTGTGGCTGACTTTTGCTATAATTGTTTTATTTTATATTTATTTTGACTAAATAGCAATTCCATTTTGATGGCATTTGCACTTTGTACCTTCCTCCTATGTTTGTGCTTATCTTTTATAAGCTTATCTTATGCTATCAAATTAAATCATTACATGATCTCTATTGATTAGAACACAATCATTTCTGGGCAGCTGATATCTGGTGCAGAACTTTTGGAATGGGGAAGTAAAAGCAATTACATCATGCAACACCTCACCTCCATGATTCGTGCAACCTTAGTTGATGACTAACAATAGCAACACCATCTCTCCTGAGGATTCTCCCTTAGAACACTCACATCCACATCCAGTTTTGCCCAGTAAATATCTCTGCTTCACTTCTAAACAGATCTTTTGGAATGACAAAATTATGGAACATCAAAATACTTCATCTCTTTAATTTAGTGCAATGTGATGATGGCAATTTTGCACCGCCTGAGACAAGGAAGAGTGAGCTGAACTTAAAGCCCACAGTGTGATTGTGAAAGAAACATAGAGAATTGGCTGTGAGAGAGGGAGAAACAACAGAAAGATTATCTTACGGGCTTTGATGGGAACACTAGTCCTTTGACAACCTGAAGCTCAAAGGATGTTGTAGAAGCAAATATTTGGCATCTAGGGAGAGCACTGCCCTTTTAGAAGATGTTAAGCTAATTAGAACACTATAAGTAGGTGTGTATGTGAATATATCATGTCTATGTATGCAACCTTAAATATTTGTATGTCTGATAGTATGCATATATGCATGCATGCAGGCATTCAAATATGCATGTTCATGGATAGGAGGAGAGTAGTCAAACCATTATTTAAACTAAGTATGCTTAGAAAAGTTAGTTGATAGCTAACATGTGAAGGAACATTGTGCATTTTCCCAAGGCTGTCAGTATCTTACGATTCACAATACGTATCTTATGATTTGATACCTTTCAGAAGGAAATCGATACTATCGTCAATACGTATCTTAAATTAAATGTATCTTACGATACATATACGATATGTGTTGCGAGATACGATACGCGATACATAATGCGATACATATGTTGCATAAATACTTAGGGCTTGTTTGGTTTGTTTTTGGGAAAAAATTTTGAGAAAAATTCTCTACAAACAAATTTTCAAGAGTAATTAAACCAAACAAATTTTTCCAAAAAAAATCTCAAAATTTTGTTTGGTTTGCTTCTTTCCAAAATCACTCTCTCTCTCATACATATCAAATCAATCACTTTTTTTAAAACTCTCTCCCCAAAATAATTTTCCAAAACCATTTCTGAAAAAAGGCAAACCAAATAAGTTTTCGTACTTTTTATCTCAAAAACTACTCTACAAACACAAACCAAACAAGCCCTTAAATTTCTTTAACAAATTTGAAAAAAAAAATATTCAAATTATTTTATGTAAATTAATATTGTCAAAAATTTTCATTAACGTATTATAAAAAAGTTGTTTTTGAGATGAGAATGGTACCTTTTAGTTTATTTTTCGACCTTTTTAACATATCTTTTGTATGGTATTAAGAATCTTGCGTTATTAATCTATGTATTGTGAAGATAATATGTATTGTTACATGCATATATTTAATTTAAGGAACTTTGCTTGTGTAATTGACAAAATTATACATTGCTTAGTGTTTTATTCTCATAAGATATTTGTTTTTTATAACTATATTTAATTTTCTACCTATTTCTAAAGGTATTAAAGTATCTTACGATACATGATACGATACAATATGATACGTGATTCAGAAAAATTAAAAAACAATACACAATTCGTATCCCGATTTGACAACAATGCATTTTCCCATGGCTAAGAAAACAATATATTACATAATGCAACATACCAAATGGGATATATGGGGCCAAAGAAATTCAAACTACTGTTTTAGCTTAGATCTGATACAAAGCCTTACACCAAGAATTCCCATCTTTCACATCCAGCATTATAGCTTCCTTTGCATGTTTGATGCTTTCCTCGACTATCTCTGCCTGATTATCAGCACCTACAAAGATAACAAAGAATTAGGAAAGCAGATGAATGCATTTATATTATGATTGATGCACAGCCTTTGACTCGAAGAGAGAGTGAGCTCTGCAATGCTTCCATTTGTTGTGATCAGATCTCCGAATTATTTTTATATTTACACCTTATACAAGCCTTAGCAAACCAGAAATTGAAAATTAGAGACCACAAATAGCATGAGAATGAGGCTACTTTCTGATTTGAAATGATAAACCAATCTTAATTTTCTCTTATATATTTTACCCTTCTTTGACTGACTAGAAAATATGCCCTATTTACATTTTTACAAGAATACTCACCTAATATAAAAATCATAAACAATCTTTTTTTTATCTCCATCTATCATGCTTTTTTTTTTCTTTTTTTTTTTTTTTACCAAGCGATGGAGTTATTCTTTGTACTCCCAAAGTTTCTAGACCAGTTAAATTTGATGATTACCAGATTGTCTTCAGCAAATATAGCTGGCAATACAAGGGCAAAAAAGTCAGTCAAGAACACAAAAATTCTAACAAAATTCACCATCTCTAGGCCCGTTGCTTCCATCAACACCACAACAGAGGTACTAGATTAAAAGACATCAACGAAACTGGTAGCAACAAAACAAGCAGAAAGATTCAGAACTCAAGAAGCTAAAAATCAAAAAATAGATAGAGCAGTGAATGTTTTCTCTTTCCTTCTTCCTTTTGATAGACAAAGACACGAGAAAAACCAGTAAAGGTTTTTGGAACAAGAATACGATCACAGGTACAAGCAATGTCTCTTACAGCGTTATTATTAACTAAAATAGATTCATTAATCTCCTAAATAAGCTCACTGCTGAGAATGTAAAAAAATAAACAATAAACTCACTGGGAATTAGGACAACTTTCCTTGCTTTCTTTCTTATTATTATTTAATAAATTAATTTAGGTATTTTATTTATTTATTTTGCAAGGATTAGATGAGAAGAAATATGACCATGATAGGTAACAGAGATGTTTGTATGGCTACAGAATTATAAGACAAGATAGAAGGATGGAGGAAAGAGTCTATGGCATTAAGTTTCATGCCACCAAGAACCAAAGAGATAAGATAAAAAGGCCTGAAAGCAAATTCAAATTTGATATCTTAAGATCTCTATAGGATGGAAATTACAAATGAAGCATGCACCATCCAATGGTAACACTTCCTAACAGATTTCAACATCAGCAGTTCAACTATCTTATAAGAGTCAAATTGGGGGAGTTGCAGGTTAGAAGGAAACATACTCAAACTGCCCTCTGCACGGATTGTCTGGGCAGCAGCAGCCCAGACTGTTCGATTTTGACCAGAATAAAGTCTCATGTAAATAAATGGCCCAAACATTCCAGATCTAAAATAGAGAGCACTCCATAAATTATCTCCCAAAGAACCAAGAACCCAAGTATAATGTAACCATAGGAGAAAACAGAATCATAACTTCTTGTGTTTTAACAAATATGGAAGATTATATTCAAGAGGAACCAAGAGAAAACAGAAAAATAACACTGAACTGAGATCCTTGCCTTGAGCCATTCTTCTTTCTAGCATAGATAATTGACAAAGTATCTTTTTGTTTGGACCCTGCATCAGATATAAAAGTATTGGTAGTTGAATATACACAGATGGAATAAAAGCACACATCACCGCTGAAATTGGAGAAACAATGGAAATATATCAGAACTCAAAAAACGTAACCTTGCTTAGTGCAAGTGTAAAGCAGTTTTTTGCTGAAGGTAGATCTCCCTTTTTCCAAATGCAGTTACCTAAGCATAGCCAAGCATCTGCCAGAGATGGATTCAACTTCACCTGGAATAACATCAGCCAATTTCAAAACGTAACCCTCAGCCTTAGCAGTGCAGCACATGAAACAACCAGGATTGAAACTTTTTTTCTGACTTACAGCTTTCGAGAGATGGTCTTCTGCTTCTTTTCTGTAATCAGGAAATACATCTAATATCTTTCCCCTCAAATATTCATATGTTGCACGTTGCATAGGTAATTTCCTTTGCTCTGCATACAATCATGTAAGTTTTGCGCTCTGAAAAACATAATCATAACAAAAACCATAGAATGCAGAAATGTACAGAAAATCACTTGATGAACACCAGATTAACAATTAAAATTAACTGTCAGTGTATCAGTGGTTAAACCAAAATAGAATGGCAGTCCATTATGATAACCAAGATTAATTTTTAGAAAAAATATTTATACACCTTAAGTCAATGCCTATTGTTAATCTATTTATTTCCTCGAGGCCAAACTATAACAGAACACCAGCTTCAGTAGAAAAAATACAATCAATTCTTCAAGCAATAATGACAAATCATCAAAGTCAGAAATATCACATAACATAGGTATGGTAAATTCTTGTAAATCCATGCAAAACAAGAATTTACCTAGAGCTAGGTTTTCAAATCCTTTAGTTGTATTGCCAAAGGTTCCTACATTTTTCAAATTCTGCAGAAAAATCAAAATGGAAGAATGCAACGATCTTATCCCTATGACCAAATAAGTACATGATCCCCCCAACCTTTCAGTAGAAAACATAAATTATAACTTAAATTATGGGATAAACTTTCATGTCTACAACTATTTCAAGCAACAAACTGAAACGCATTTATCAGTCTCTTAACAAATAAAATTCCACTGGAATGAAACGAATTCAAATCATGCCCTTGAATCAAAAATTAAGTGAATCATGTGATTCAATTTACCATTAATTACAATTCGCTACGATTTATTATGATTCAATTCTGTTTTTTTTTTCCCCCATAATACATTAAGGATCTGTTTGTTTTGATGTAAGATTTTTTCATTAAAAATATTTTCCTAATTTTGGTGTATGGTTGCATAGAAGTTGGGTAAAATCATTTTCGAAGTAACTATTTTATAATGTGCGATGTAAAGCAACTTACCGATCCAACTTCGATAAGTTATGTTACAACTTTGATCTTACAAGTCAATTCTTACTGTTATCTGGGAGAGAGAGAGAGAGAGAGAGAGAGAGAGAAGAGAGATTGAAGAAGCAACAAAAGCCATTTTGCCTGATGGTCTTGCCTATTGATATTTCTCCTCGATCTATTACAGTATTAGCACAGATGAGTTCTTGTCAGGAGTCCTTTTATGTTTCTGTTGTTTATGGTTCTAATAGTTCCACTGTTAGGAAGAGATGATGGTCTGTTTTGAGGAATCTCAAATATAGGGTGGATGATAAGGCCTGGATTATTTTAGGTGATCTCAATGTTGTTAGACATTTTTCTGAAAGGTTGGATGGTATTAGATTTGATCCAAGTTCAGCTGATGACTTTATCACTTGTCTCAATGATACTGATGCTACTGAAATTACTACTAAAGGTGCCTGGTTTACATGGTCTAGTAAGCAGGATGGTATGGGAAGTAGGAAAAGCAAGTTGGATAGGGTCTGCATTAATCCGAAATGGCTGGAGTTGTTTCCAAATTCTCAAGTTGTGGCCCTTAATCCTGGTATTTCTTCTGATCATTGTCTGCTTGTTGTATCCATTTCTAAGGATCATGGCATGATGAAAGCTTTCAAATTTTTGATTTTTGGATGTTACATAAGACTTTTATTGGTTTATTGACTCAATCGTGGCTGCTTCCTGCTAGCGGTTCCCCCATGCAGGTTTTGCAACTCAAATTGAAAAGGCTTAAGCCCATCTTAAGGAACCTTAACCATGCTCATTTTTCTGATATCTCTAAGGGAGTGGCAGAAGCAAAAGCTAACCTTGAGCAATTTCAGAGTCAGAATACAGATACTATTCTCAATGATAGCCTAGTGAAGGTTGGATCTGAGTTACTCTCTTAAGTATGCATAAGTATCCAGAACTAAGCCTTGCCGAAGAATCTTTTAAAAGGCAGAAATCTAGAGTGCAATGTGTAGCTAGCTTTTCGCGCTTCTCGGAGGGGTTAGTCTCCTCGGGTACGATAGCCCTACAGTTCGGACCTATGAAGCACGGACACGGATACGGGACACGGCAATTTTAAAAAAATGGGGACACGGACACGGCTGGGGACACGGCAAAATTTTTTTTATATAAATATTTTTATTTTAATACAAGTTAATTATTTTATTTAATTATTATATTTTTAAATAAATATGATTCTATTAATTTTTTATTTTATTTTATCTACTTTTTTTTTTATTAATATATATATATATATATTATAAAATATAAGATATAAGATATGTTTTTTTATTAATATTAAATAAATACATATATATATATATATATATATTATACCTAATAGATACATTAATATTAAACCTAATAAATATATAATATATATATTATATGAATCAGATCAGATCAGAGCAGAGAGAGCGAGAGCGAGAGCGAGAGCGAGAGACGCGAGTGAGAAGGAAGGCGAGAGAGAGGGACGAGAGAGAGAGACTTACGGATAGAGGTCGACAGGCGAGTCAAGGTCGAGGTCATGGATGGAGGTCGACTGGCAAGAGAGAGAGAGACTTTTGGTGGTCGACTGGATGGAGGTTAACAGGCGAGTGGACTGGATCGAAGACCAGGTTTGTCTCTTGACCTTTGCTCTTCTACTTTACTCTTCTCTTTTGCTCTCTGTGTCCAGATTTGGACACGCGTGTGCAGATTTGGTGGACACGCGTGTCCCCGCCGTGTCCCTGCAAAAAAAATAATTAAATTAAAGGGACACGCCATCCGGTGTGTCCCCGTGTCAGACACTGCCACGGCATGAAATCTGGCGTGTCCATGCTTCACAGGTTCGAACTCCCTTAGTTCTGAATCTGATTTCACAAGTGCAATGTAAAACAGAAAAACGAATGAGAGTCCAAATCCGATAAATCTTAAAAAATCCATTAATCATCAGAGATGCCAAAAATGGACTGTATTGCCAAATTTTTAGAGTCGCAACCTAAATATTTTTGAAAAATTTAGGAAATCCGTGACTCGTGCCAAAGGCTACTTGTCCGTCATAACCAAGGTGTCTCGACTCGGAAACTTAGGTATGAGAGGGGAAAGTCATGAATTGAGCACCCCACTCACCTGATCAAAGATCGGCCTCTACTAATCAGATATGAATTTTATAAATATTATATGCTCTTGTTCTGATTTTATTATGCTAACTTACTATGTGAGGCACACAAGTATAGACCACATCACCTATATTGGAATGCTTTGATTTCATGCATTTTTTAAAAGAGTTTTGAATATGTGCAACTTAAAAGAAAAGTTAGCTCATATGTACAATAATCAAAGTCATTCCAACTTAAACAAAATAGCCTTCATCCATAGGCACTCAAAGAGGTATTTCAAAGAAGCATGTAGCCTCATGGTAGTATGCTTAACATGGCAACACAAACACACATGTAATATGCTAAAGCAAAAATGCTCACCTAGTACTCCGAGGCAAGCCATAGAAAAGAAAACAATTAGAAAAATGCATAAAACAGTTATGTTGATGGCTTAATGGTTATAGTGCTTATTTTTTGGAGTTGAGTAGGCACATTTTGGGATTAAAGCTTTGGCAATTCGAAGGTGAGAGAGATGTAGGGATTAAGTTCGCTTGGTGTCACAAGGCATTTCAATACACTTAATTGTTCTTGAGCTGTTTTTAAAGGTTATAGAGGTAAAAGAGCATGAGAGAGAAAGAGCGAGAGCGAGGGCATTTGGCAAACCTATTGTCGGTGCCAAAGCGTGGTCCTCGTCGGTGCCTTCTGTTCCTAGGGCCTCGGTCGTACGAGATAGAGGACATTGGGGGCGGCTGCTACTGGTCTTCGACGGCTGTTGATGGTAGAACGAGGACAAGGCCGCCGTAGTGAGATCGCTTTGTATGGGGCAGAGATCAGATGGCTGGTTTCACGGCTACGACAGGTGGATGGAGCTACTGCTTCTGGTTTGTTTCTAGGTCGTGTGTCGGGTGGCAGCCGGAGTGTAGCTGCGTGGCTGAAGTCTGAGCAGAATGAGCGTGTGGTACAGGTGGTCATGTCTTCAGGGGTTCGTCGTCATCAGAATTTCATACCTCTAGTGGATGACCACTGGGAAGGTCTTGCACCGGTTCTGGAAGGTTTCGACCTAGGTTGGGGATGAATGGGCCGGCGGAAATCATGGTGGCTGTCAGGGGGTCGGCGTAGATGGGCCCCGCCGACAACAACGCGACTGGAGCAAGATTGGGGCCGCGATTCTCGTGCAAAGATGCTGGGCCATGATCATAGGAGAGATTTTCGACGATTTCCTAATGAGCAGTTGGGTAGAGGTTTTGGGCCACAAAGGGTGGATCAAGGTAGAGCCCATGGACTTGGGATGAGGGGTGTGGGTCTAAGCCAGTTTAATAAAGCCTATTTGGGAGATGGGGCTTTGGACCAAAGAGAGAGAGGTTCCCATGTTGGGCCATGGCACCGTCGGGATATGGAAGTTGATCATCTTGGACTGAAGTCATTTGGGCTTGGATTTATGAAGCCCAATTTGGGTCCACGAGGTTTGCAGGGCCGTTTGGGAGTCGACCCACGTCGTGGTTCGTTTGTTGCTACAGGTCCGCCGAGTCAACCCAATTTGAACCCTTCGGTTCATTACGTGTTTGGGTCGCTTTTGGGTGCCCTAGGCCGTGGTGGTGGTGCGACAATAGAGGTTCACGGGCGAGATGACGATTGACGACGGTCACCAATGGGTGCATCGACATCACTTTCAGAGGGTCAGGCAGGTTTAGGTGGAGAAGGGCGGGGGGCAGAGGTAGGGGGCGGTTTTGGGGTTTCATAGCCTTCACCTACTGAGGTTTCAGATTGGGTTTTAAAAAGAATTAGTGAGGTTAGTCGTTTGTTGGGTGTTTCTTTTGAGGGGCATGAGTCAGAGGCAATGCAATTATTTTCAGCAATAGAGATGTCTTGGCGCAGTGGGGTTCCGTTGAGGGAGGTGGTTCGGACTGGGGTCCAATGTCAGAGGGAGGATAGAGAGTTACGGAATTTGGAGTGTTTTATTAACTATGATAGGCGTTCGGGGGACTCTGGGAAGAAAGTCAGGCGGGGA